TGTTACAGTGTTAAAGTCTTAAACATCTCACACCACACATATATAATTAACTCGTCGAGTACCGGTTTTGTAGACACAATTATAGAACAATAGGTTGCGGTCCGGTGACCGCTTGGTGTTTGACAGTTTAATTACGTAAGTATTCATTACAAATGCATTCTGTACCTGAGATTGTTTTTTCTGGCACAGTCTTTTAACAATGTGAGCTTTCTGATGATCTTTGGCGTAAGCATCAGTGAAAACGTACACGTGGGAGCCACGATTACTCTTTTCCAAAGCTAGAATCAATCCATCCATTGATAGTACTTGATGCTTTGGGTCATTTTTACTGAGTGCCTTAACATCTTTTAATGCCTTGTCAAATTCGTTATGATTCTTGGCCACCACCTTTACATGTGCATCTAAAATTAATAAATAATATTGTCAATATCGCCAGCTTTCTATGACTAGTAAACTTCCGTTCTGTAATTTGTTTGCGAATTGGAACTTCTTTTTGCTGTCCTCATCGTTGTCGTTGTGGTAATGATGTCAACAGCTTTGGATACCACGGCATGTCGTGTAGCAGTATTGTGAGTACTTTTGCTTGACACGCAAGGTTCAATGACATTATTCCTTAAGGTCTTGTCTCCATCGACGTGGCAGTTATACTTAGAGCCTAATGGCTTGGTATGCGACCTGACGGTATGTCATTATTGGAAGATGGCTAGGACTTCGGTATTCGATGACATTTGCTTGGATACTCTTGTGCCATCCTATCTTGCAAGCTCAGCGTGTCGCTACCGCTGATGTTAAGGAGAACTTCAAATGGACAAAGTATAATAACCAGATTGGCAATATTGTGCTTTCGATTCTTTCAGGATTAAAACTTTAGGACCGTGAAGTCCAAGTGTATACACGGGATCCCATCCTTCGTCCATTTTTATATGTAAACATAATCATATATAATTATTTATTTATTTATTCATAGAGGTATTGCACAATGTACATATAATAAGAAGTATTACATACCACTAATTCAGTACATACCCTGTTAGGGCGCAACAATTTAAAACATTACAAAATTTATTACATTTATAACTATTTATTATCATATATAATCATAAATATAAATTTATTTATAATTAATAAAATTATCTATAATTATGTTTTTCTTGAAGTAAGGTAATGTATATTTGGAATATTGGTATCTATCGCTTACCATCAGGTGATCCGTCTGCTTGTTTGCCTCCTATTCCATGGAAAAATGTAGAATAATTATGTATAATATATAAATCGAATCGAAATACTTACCTGAGTTGTTGAATGTGATGAGAACCATATTGCTCAGACTGGATGTCTGATTGAAAATCATACTCGTCATGGCTGGGTTTACGCTCTTTTTGATTAGGTTTATGTCATCCTTCATCGAAATACTATCATCTATTACAAAGGCTAAACTCCCTTTCTCCGCGCATGATGCTTTCATAACAACATCAGCAAATACCAGTAACACTACCAGCGGATAAATGCGCCCCAACATTTTTAAATAATTAAATATAAAACTAAATAATTTAATAATGCATTTAAATGGATGAACGATGAAAACTTACTGTGCGAGTCAACATAATTACGCTCATATTTATAGAATTCTAAATTTAGTCACTATGTGGCACTAACTAAATGCCGACTAATATTTTCTGAATATTTACCGATGTGATAATATTTGTAGGTATTTTCCTTTTACAAAATTAGCAAATTTAGCTATAATAAGGTGTATCGATTAATCATAATATGTACGTCTACACAACTTGAAGTTGCATTTCAGTATTCAGGCGTACGACAGTAAAATGTTACAATAGACCCTGTGACATGGGACTTATAACATAAATAGTGAAAAGTGGGTGTTACATTATATAGCGGCATTAAGTGCCGTAATGTGCACCACTGCCTACCCCTTTTGGGGATAAAAGGCATGATGTTATGTTATGTTATGTTATGTTATGTTATGTTATATTATGTTATGTTATTTTATGTTATGTTATGTTATGTTATGTTTATATTAAAACTGTCGTGAGACGTACTAAATTTATTATTATGTTTTCGGCTTACTCATGCCTCTAGCATGGCTTGAATCTAGTTGAATTCCTCATCAGACAGTTACGTGAGTAGGTAAGCCGAAAACGTGATAATTAATTTAATAATAACAATAATTAATTTAATGTCCATTACATCTATATTAAAGTTGTCTAAAGGGCCTCTGCGCAGTTGGCTTCGGCCCCTCGTACGCCTCCTAAATGACCGGGACCCTATGGTCCCGTGAATGGTAGAGATATACATAATAATTTAATAATTGTTACGGAAACCAATAAAAATATTCATAAGTAGGTTTTTAATTACTAAACGGAAATAACTAACGATAGTAAGTGATAACAGTTATGGGTATTTTGATTAAATAACTATAGTCCGCTCGACTGCCTCGTTGGTCAAGTGCGACTGCCAGGCAAGGGGTCTCGTTTCCCGTGTCGGGCAAAGTATTACTAGGTTTTAAAAAAATATATATCTCAGTAGTAGCACGGAGTCTAAAAGTGTGCCCGGTATATGGCAATAGGCTCAGTCCTTATTACATGGAACTCATAACATAAATAGTGAAACGTGGGTGTTACATTATACAATTGTATTAAGTACCGTAATATGCACCTCTGCCTACTCCTACGGGAATAAAGAGGCTTGATGTACCTCTAATGTGTTTAACTATAGAACATAATACATAAAAGAAATTACACATGTACCTAATTTGCAAGATATAATTTCCAATTAGCAGGTGGATTTAAGATCCTAGTTAAAAAGCTCAGATGTATTAGAGAGCACTGCTATGCGGTATCTGTCGAAGTATAAATGTGGTCTTACTATACGAGTACCTACGCGAAGAGCAAGTGTGATGACTAGTGAATTAAGGTTTCTCCCACCCGGGTGAGGCCAGAGGAAGTGTCAGACGACTCTTACTGACTAAAAACCACTCGGTTCCTACTCCTGCACTTGCAACCAGAGCCCCGACAACCCGTTAAGCCCTCCGCGACTCCACGTCGACATCAGCCTTATTAGGCCCCATCTGTGGTGGTCTGAGAGCTTCTTGAGGCGCGCGCGGAACGTGATGCGCTGCACGCTCGGGCCTGGTTCTGGTCGGATGGTGATTTACCCGTGCTCGCCGTCCGCAGGCCCGCCGTCACAGACCTAGCTATCATCATCATCAACAGCCTATAAATGCCTACTGCTGAGCAAAGTCTCTTCTCACATGGAGAAGGTTTGAGCATTAATCACCACGCTTGCTCAATACGGGTTGGCAATAACAAATTTATTATTGTAATTATAAATATAAGCATATACTTTTAAGGTGAATTGATAAAGAAAAAAATAATATTTTAGTTATTTGTATTTTAAGTTGTATATATTTATTTATAATTAAGTTATTGCCTTGTTGGCCGAGTGGTCGCAAGTGTGACTGCCGGGCAAGGGGTCTCGGGTTTTTAAAAAAATCTCAGTAGTAGCACGGAGTCTGGAATTGTGCCCGATATATGGCAATAGGTTCACACCCTATTACAAGGGATTCATGACATGAATAGTGAAAAGTGGGTGTTACATTGTGCAGTGGCATAATGTGCACCTCTGCCTACCCCTTCAGGGATAAAAGGCATGATGTTGCGTTACGTAATTAAGTTATTTAAGTTTATTATTTGTAAATAAAATATCACTATGTTTCAAATAATTCAATGTATTACTAATTTATAGTAGTATTAAGTTATAATATAAGAAATTATAAGTAAGCCCAGGTTTTCTCGCGATGTTTTCCTTCACCGTTTGTCAGCTAGCTATATTATATATTAATATATTTTATAGTATAGGTAGCTATCACAGACTGGAGCTATAGTACCATGACTATAATAACACCCCGTATCTTAATTTTATATTATTATGATATATATTATTTATTTATTTATATTTATTATATTACAGTTATAATTTTTTTATTTATATATTACACTAGCGACCCGCCCCGGCTTCGCACGGGTGCAATATGTATATACATACAAACCTTCCTTAAGAATCACTCTATCTATTAAAAAAACCGCATCAAAATCCGTTGCGTAGTTTTAAAGATCTAAGCATACATACGGACATACAGCGAAACCGACTTTGTTTTATACTATGTATTGATTTATATATTTGTTATGTTATTATAAAATATACATTTTGGTGACGTTAAAGAAATATATTGTACAGCTAGGTATGTGCGTTTAAACTCTTCATCGTCATTGCACAGTTAAACTATATGACAAAAAGTTCTTTATAATTTTATTTCGATTTACGCTTATATCGGTGATGTAAAACATACAAGCGGACAATAAAAGGAAAATATATTTAAATATAATATATGTTGTACCATAACTATATTTACGATTCTATATATAACAGTGTGATAATGTGGTTTCGCGCAGTGTAGGTACATCGTTCATCAATTTACAAACATCATAAATTATTTGATATTCAATTATTCAAGAAAATGTTGAGGCGGATTTATCCGGTGGCGACATTGCTAATAGTCGCTGATATTGTTATGAAGGCATCGTGCACGGAGAAAGGGAGTTTAACCTTTATCATATGTGATAATAAATCGATGAAGGCCGAAATAGAAATGATCAAAGACAACTTGAAAACTGTATTCAATGGAAAATCCAGTGTGATCAGCAACATGGTGCTCGTCACATTCAACCGCTCAGGTATTCCAAAAACAAATATTTTCTAGAATTGTTATCATATAAACATCTTTTTATTGAACAATTTAAAAGTGTGTTGATCTTTTAAGGCCTTACTCTTGAATCCATTTTCGATCGACATTGGTATTGTGAAATTTCGTACTCTTAAGTTGCAATACCAGCGCCCGTCTTGCGTGGATATTTAATGAACTAAATGGTATTGAGTTTGTGTTTATATTCCGTAGAAACTTTGAATGCCATTTTAACAGCTACAATAGTAGTTGTATAGTTTTGACATTGAATAATTATTGAGATTTTATTGGATAGAAATTGTATTGACATTAAGATGGTTTTCAAGATTAAGCACAGGTACAAAATATTTCAAAATTATAAACAAATGTACTAATAAATAGATTATCGAAACTAGCCAGCAGCTGCTAAATGACATTCAGCTAAATGCCATTTAACGCTTGTCTACTTGTAGAGTAGAAAACCAAAATATATGGAATTGACATAAATTTTGACGCTTGTGAGTGTCATCCCCATACATTTAGTATTCTACTCTCTCGGTAGACAAGCGCTAAAGTACCGTTTGGCTAAAGGCAATGAGGTAGTATTAATAAACAAAATCCTGTGGCGAACTCGCTGTCCATTGGACGACATTTTTAATTATGTTGCAATGTTTTATTTTTCGTAACATGTATTATTCTTGCTTATAGAATAAACAACTTAACATAGGGCCAATTTCTCAATGCTCAGATATATTTTAACTGAGGAATATTTGACGATTCTCACATGGCCATACTAAAAAGTATCAACTGTCAATTTTATCCTACAGTTAAGAATGAATTGGTGATTGAAAAATTTGCCCATAGTCCATTTTATATTTTAATTTTCTAGAACTTCATTGGTTTCATCACCCACTGTGATTAATTTCAGATGCACTTGTAAAAATGGTGGCTACAACTTTGAATGAAATGCAAAAAGCATTGGAAGATGTGTACACACACAATACTAATCCTGATCATGACTGTCAAGAATCATCAATGAAAGCATTGATTACAGCATTGCATAAAAGTAATCGTGGTTCCCATGTATATTTGTTCACCAATGCTGCACCCAAGAACTACCAGAAGCTTGACAATGTCCAAGAACTGTGTCAGAAAAAGCAATCTCAGGTACAGATCGTAAAAGTTGTAACAAATTGTAGTGGGAAAACAAAGTTTTATGTTTTGGATATTTTTTTAACTTTATAAAAATGGAACGCATGTAAGAAGCATCATCGTGCCTATACAGAAGATATAAAGTAAAGATACAGAGATTTTAGATAGTATTTCCTTTTTTACCACAGAATGAAGTTACATTCAGTCAAAAAAGTATCGGGAATGGACAATTTGTTCCAAATTTTGTTCAAAATTTGTTCCAAATTGGTTACAAATTCAAATTTTTGTTTTTTTTTTTTAGTTGTTAGATTGGCAGAACTATTTTCCATTTTGGTGCGGTGTTTGAGTTGCATCTGTTGTTTATATTAAATACAGTGCTGTTTTTAGTAATAGCTGGTTTTAGTGTATTGCGAATTTCTTGACAGTGTAGTATCTAATAATACGAAGGCGCAATGATAAGTCTGGTATAAAAATGCAACAAGGGGACAAAAATGAAACAAGGAGACCACTTTATTTAAAAAATATTATTTATGTTTCAACATAATTTCCATGTTACTTAATGCACTTCATCCAGTATTTCTCAAACTTTTCGATCCCTTCCGTAAAATACGTAGTAATTTAGGTTTACGATACAATACGATGTATGTTTGTAAACGCACCCAGGACGCAGGAGAAAATCCTAGTATGGGGCACGTATTTTATAAAAAATAGAAATAATATGGAAAGTGGTATAACATTTTAGAATCCTTATTAAATGCGCCTATTTTGATGAAATTGGCCACTACGAGGGCAGTACAGTTTTTTTTTTTCAGTACAGCCACTTAAAGGAAATGGAAAATTTATTGCGAACCAAATAGGTTCGAAACTAAAGCAGCCGGCTCAGAATTTATGATTTCATAATACTGAAGACCTATTCAGGATAAAGTTAGCAAAAATACAGACGAAACAATAAAGATTTATAGTGGCAAGGCTCAAAAGTCTCGCAAAGGCTGTACTTTTTCGTGGATAACACAGAAGTCATTATAATTTAAAAACTATATGACTTGACTTATTAACTAAGTACTTACTATATTTTTTTATATTTTTCTGATAACTGTTGGAATCTTGTAGACCATGGCGCCATGGCGACACATGTCAAATGACAGCAGACTCCTTTTCCGATCTTAGGGAACTATACGCAGCATCTATTCCCCGACTTACCGTGGGACACTGCGAACTCATCTCTCCGACTCACTGGAGTTTCACCCTGCATCGCTCACCCGACTCACTGGGCACTCAGCGGCACAGTTCCAACCCACTGCAACTAGGGACATTCTGTACTGGTTCTGGCACCGCTCATCTCAAGCATCGACAGCCGTCTCATCAGGATCGACCTCCGGTCTTGGGAGGGAGTGATGTGGCGACACGTGTCACAAGTCAACAAATGACGTCATAAAATCCTACATCGCACATGCAAAGTTTACATGCAAATTAATACGAATAGAAAATCCCAACGAACAACTGTTGGGCAGAAAGCCCGCCAGGCACGATCACCTCGCCTGGTCGGAGGATCCTCCTTTTCCAAACTTAGGGAACTATACCCTCTGTTCCCTAAAGTCGAATTCCCGGGACACTGTGGCGGCTCAGTCGTCTGTCTGGTAGCTCAGCGCTCTCAGCCTCTTCTTACACTATGATAGTTCTGGTGCATTATTTTTAAATTTATTTAATTTTCTCAATTACAGATTTCTTTTGTGACCATTAAAAAGAAAATTACATTGACTGACAAACATTCAATTAAAAGCAAAGATGTGTATAGAAAAATAGCCGAGGTGTGTTCAGGACTGGCCATTGAATTAAACGAAAATGAATTCTCATCATCGGTAAGCAGCATTTCAATTATAAAATAATATGTGAATTACAGGTCAATATAAAAAAAAATCAAAAATGAGTTTTATACGGCTTACCATTTATGCTCAGTGTAACTAAACGTGTATATGTTACTGTAAAAGCTCGAACTACGGTAAATCTTAAGATTTAAGTGTAAGTCTTAAGATTTACCGACATGAGTTGGTAAATGTAAGTATTTCTGAAGATACGACGATTTTTTCGAGCTTTTACCATTCGAACTCAGTATATGCTAGGTTTTACCACTGTCAGCTGGTAAATGTTGGTTTTGAGAATAAAACAATGAGTAATTCTTAATTATTTACTTTGAACTATTAAACAAAACAGGTACATGGTATTATAAAGATATCATAATGATAGCAATAAATACAAATATTGTGATACTACTAGCAAACGGTGAAGTAATTCTACTATATAAAAATAAGTAGGGTTTTCCTTCCTGATGCTATAACTCCAGAACGCACGAACCGATTTCCACGGTTTGCATTCGTTGGTAAGGTTATCAACTTATTTAAATTTTTGAAAGAACACATGACGTATATATCTGAATATTTCAATCTGTCATATCTATCTAACTGAATCAGTACTTCTCTATTTGGAATTTAACAACGAAATACAAACATAAATTTTATAAAAGCAAGTCTAACTTAATTATTATATTTTTCTCATTATTTGGTTTAGAAGTAAATAAAGACAATCAAATGTAATTGATTAATAGGTAAGGTTCCTAAAACAACATTATCTTTAATGTTCCTTCTTTTAATGTTCTTTGCAGTTTTTACTTCCTCTAAACACTTAGCGTATTTGTCCTTATCGAGATAAAAGTTATTATCTTTTTGTTTGGCACAGGCTCGTCCATTATTTTATAAAATCTTTGCTGCATGCAAATCCAAAAATATAATTGTAAATCCATTTATCGCGCGAGTTCAAACGTGTCAAACGAGCGACTGAGGCGAGCGGAGTGGCGGAGACGGCTCGCGGGTAGCGGGGGCGGCAAGCTATAAGTCGATGCGCTGAGCACATTATGACATGTTTTGTTTTTCAACATTTACCATGCCATTGATGTAAATCCTAAGATTTACCAACGGAATGGTGGTAAAAGTTCGAATCGCAAATCTTTTTGGACATTTACCATTAGGAATTGGTAGATCTTAGGTTTTACTGGAATATCTTAGGATTTACTGCAGTTCGAGCTTTTACAGTAACATATACAACATTACAATCGCATGACGACATCTGCTTCGAAATTTAGTTCCATGATTTCACTTCATGAGCCGAAAGGATAGGCGGAAAAGAACGATTATTAAAATATTTATATATTATATTTAATAATTATTGTCAATTCCAGATATTTCCGTTTATAAGTGAATTTGTAAGTGGCGAGAACGTTATAATTGTTGCGAAGACTCTTCCTGCCGGTGTTTCGAATGTAATTTCGGTGAGTTATTTTTGTATTAATGATTTTAATGTGATTTCACGAAAGGTAGACAGACACATACAGACATTACCTAAGGCCCATGGCGTATTTTATGCGCAGGGGAAGCGCAAATGACGCGCGTATACGCGCTGTAGTCGCTCGTAACACACAATAAAACAATAACAACTGAGACGCACGCGGGGCGCAGTGGACTTCATTGTGCACGATATTGTCATCATCAACAGCCTATAAGTGCCTACCACTGAGTATAGCCTGTTCTTACACGGAGAAGGTTTGAGCATTAATCACCACGCTTGCTCATTGCGGGTTGGCGATTTCAAACTATATTTGACTGCACGGTTGGTGCGGTGGCTGGGCAACCGGCTGCCGTGCAACGTGTCGCGGGTTCGATTCCCGCTTTGGGCACACTTTGTGTGATCCACAAATTGTTGTTCCGGGTCTGGGTGTCATTGTGTATGTGAACTTGTATGTTTGTAAACGCACCCACGACACAGGAGAAAATCCTAGTGTGGGGCAATGTATTTAAAAAAAAAAAAAATGTCAGTGGTGTCTAAATTATCTTAGAAAGTACATATAACTCGGAAAAAGTCACATTGAACCCGCACCCATGCATTAAAACGGGCGTCTTAATCTCCGGGCAACTACGATACGTGTTTGTATAATCAATTAAAACGAAACAATCATCGTCTACGGCGCGGCGTTTCCTGCTCTGCAATGTTTGATAAAATACACAATGGAACTGTTTCAGTACGACGTAGATGACCGAATTGAGCATGTCATCGTCTCCGCGTCGGGTAAGAAAGTAGAAATCACCAAAACTGAACATGTCGGCGTAATCCAAAGTATAATTTCGTATAACAATGTTCAAGTGAGTATTAATAGGTCGTTTCAATAGTAAACACCTTTATACATAATACATAATATATATATATATATATATTATGAATTGTTTAGACCTTAATTGCTTTTTAGTTCATCTTTTTGTTTGTTTTTAATTTTTGAAGTCTGTTTTTAAATGCAGAATCTGTATCTACATTATTTTTCAACCTTTATTAATTAGATAGGTACTATTCTTAATGTTTTGTATAATGTGTGAAATGATTTAATGATTGAAAAAATGACTTTTACCTTAATAAAGATACAACAAATAAATTAGGTATATAATTAGGTAGGTACTTATAATTTTATTGTTTTAGGCGACGAAGTTGTTTGATACCAAGCCTGGTAGGTACAGCGTCATCCTGAAAAATCCGTCAGAGACATCCGTCCTTATAATGGGCAGGTCTGATTTCTTTTTCAACCATGGTTTCTCGAAGCTGAAGCCCAAGTCTTTTAACGAAACTTATCCCCAGCCATTAATTGGTGAGTTCTTTATATTGATGTGATATTGTACCTAGAACTAATTAAGGTTCTTATTGAAAGCCTATTGTTCTTTAATTACCTGTACTTTTCTCCTTGAAATCCTGCAGAATTTAATTGCATTTTTATGATAACTGCAAGGAATTAATGAATTTTCAAAAGTTATAAACATAATTTTATGGAACCAGTTTACGATTAGCATATCATCCCCTTAATTTGTTCATACAAAAGTAGTCTCTCTAAACATCGGAAATAAGGTCTATAATGTAGTTAATTAAGATGACTGTTTTAAAATGTCGTTAATATAAAGCAGACACTACACTGGAATGAAACAACGTTTTTATAGAATATAGTAGCAATCAAGCAGTCATGCCACCTGATGGTAAGCAATCGCCATAGACCACTGGCACCTGCAATACCAGAGGATTATCTAGTATCCATAGATAACTTACGGAACCTCGCTCGGTGACATAAACAAGGTATCTTTATGTTTATTTATTAGAATTAAAATCGTTTCGTATCATCTTGTCTATTTAAATCGTGAAACACGTTTGCTTATAACTTTCAATTCATTTCAATAGGGATGATGACAGGGTATTAAAATTAAAAATCTAATTAGTCCGTCAGTTAGGTAATGAAAAAATATTAGACATGTATTTTTTAATTTTGTCGTATAAGAAAATATTACTTAGATAAAACGGATCAAAGTTGAGGACTGGGAGTAAAAACGTCATTTCTACGTATAAAATGTCTCTAGAATAGACGTCACGCGACATTTGAAATTAATATATCGTCGAAAGTATTTGTATCTGTAAGGAAATAAAAATTACGTGTCTAATGTTTTAAAATAATCTACCAGACCGACATTAAAATAAAATTTTGTCTTCTACCCTATTCAGAATTTTAGGCTACTCTCTACTACTGCTTTCTTTTTTTACCTACTTCTACTTCTCTACTTCCATACTTTTTTTTTTAGATGTAGATGTCCATTTCTTATCAGTATTAGTTACTGATGAACGCCAAACAGTGGATATAACAAAGGCACAGATCTTAGGAATGGACGATGAACCACTCATACCAGATCTTCCTTTGACCAAAATTTCTAAAGATTTTTACATTACCCAGTCTTTTGTTACACCGACAGAAATGTTTAAAGTAGCGGTAAGTATTAAAATTACTCGACATACCGTAATTTTACTATTAATGTAAATATATTGGTGGTGCCCCACAAATAGCGATCTACCCCCAAGAATGAATTGGAACTGCAAAACATTTTAGAAATCAATTGAATTGACGAAGCCCCTCCGTGCGGGGCTTTTGTTTGTAGGTACAAGCAAAAGCATCGGTAGGTCACAAAAAAATATTTTAAAGAAAATTATTCTGCTTCAGAGTTAGATACCATAATCGAATGTCTAAGCATAATTTCTCCAAGTTATAAATTAATATTACCCTACTGCCTAGGTGACCGGAAAAGTGAAAGCAATGGGTCACATTATAAAGCGCTACACAAAGATTCCTATCACAACCTCGAATTCAATAAGTAAGTTACCATTGACTAGTAATTAGGTCTAAGTTTATTGTCACTATCATTATAAAGTATTAAACAATGTCGCACTCCGTAAGTATAAATATATATATATTATTTTCTCTGACTACATTGGTACAACTAAAAATGTATGACCTCACAAGCACCTAACACATTTTTTGTGCTTAAACTGTCAAACACCAAGCGGTCACCGGTGACCGCAACCTATTGTTCTATAATTGTGTCTACAAAACCGGTACTCGACGAGTTAACGGTTTCAATGGTCTTCCACCAATCCAGCTCTTTCGTTTTATATCAATACATAGTATAAAACAAAGTCGCTTTCGCTGTATGTCCGTATGTATGCTTAGATCTTTAAAACTACGCAACGGATTTTGATGCGGTTTTTTTTAATAGATAGAGTGATTCTTAAGGAAGGTTTGTATGTATAATACATGCATATTGCACCCGTGCGAAGCCGGGGCGGGTCGCTAGTTTATAATAAAGGTAGGTGTGTAAAAAATAGGTATATCGAATGGTAGTTTAGAGATAAATCTGGTGCCAAGTTTGAACCACTGGGTGAAACTGGAAGCGTGCTACGTATTAACAACGTACAAACCAAACACGGGGGTCAGTATAAGTGTATGACAGAAATAGGAAAATGTAAGGATGAGACGGTTACAACTTTAATCGATAGATATGTTGATACATTCGATAGATACTATATTTTTTTTATTTTCAACCTTCCAAACAAATAAGCAGGGCAAGCTAAATAGAACCGTTTAATAAATAGAAGCATTTAAATACTAAATAATTCAATACGATATGCTTAACACGAATACTTAATTTTTCTAGAACTACCAGATGAGCAAAGACCTAAAGTGGTGATTGCTGAGGGCAATAAAACGTCTATAGAATACAACAGTTCCTTCAAATTAACTTGCAAAGTGACAGCTTATCCCAAGCCTAAAATAACTTGGTACAACCAAAAGGGAGTTTCATTGCCTTCCAAAGTACGTGAGTAATATAATTGTACCTACAATAATACCTATGCTCTGATTTTAACCATGGTGTTCAACTAAAATAATGTTGTCTTTAATCAGACAGCGAAGCAGAGATGAAATCTATACAGATAAATAAAATTGGAGTATCTGTTTGAAATATTAAAATAAACGCTTTTTACTATATGTTTATGAATATACAAATGATATACATACTGTCTTTGTTTGTCTATTATGTTTGTACTTACTGGCTAATCTCTGGAATGGCTGGACCATATAGACGGGATTTTTATTGGCAGTTGGCTGATGTGTTAAGGAGTAACATAGGCTACATTTATTTTAAGAAAAGTAACCAAAAAAAAAAATGTCTTAAAATTCATATTCTATGCAGAGAAACACGCGGGCAACAGCTAGTCGTAAATATCTCCACATTATTTTACAATTTAGAGTCACACTGTAACGAAAGTTATACCTATGTTTAATTTTAAAATATTTTTTTATTATAACACTTCCAAAGATCTAAACGTACCATTCTAGATATTCAATCAGAAAACTTAGTAATGATACAATTTAGGGCTCTGGCTTAGATCAACGTCTTTTGTTCTTGAACACTATCTATCCACATTGTTCGATGAACATTTAAATACTCGGAAACCTCCCTAAAACATTGTGTTGATGAACTTTCAGAGTTCTATGATTAATCATCCGACGGACTACATAAGTTACCTGGAAATTGCAATCGCAGTAAACGATAGGTACATGTGCCATGCAGTTAATGACGCTGGAATGGGTAATGCAAGAATTACGGTCAACGTAATGTCGCCATTAACTGCAAGTAATACTATTCGCAGTAAGTCACAAGTTATTTATTTCATCTCATTTTTTTGCTTTATCCATGTTGTAGTGAATTAAAGTGAAATCAATGACAAACTGGTTGAACTGATCCACACGTTTGGCAAACAATAGTAAAGCAAACATTAAAACACGAACATGTGGATGCGTTTGTATGTGTGATCTTGATTGTGTTCGCCACGCTGTTCGGCAAACAGTTTGCGCTGTATCCACACGCTTCCTACACATCGACGTTTGGGAGTTTATTTGTTGGGGCAAATATCAAGCGTGTTGTCGAGGCATAAAATATAAGTAAATTTACTACGGATACTTTGTTCCAATTAAAATTAAGTATTATACGTTAACCACCACGTTCAGTTTTAAAATGGCGGTAGGACAACCAAAGCCACAAAGTAGAAAGAGCCCACAGGTAAAAAAAAAGTAAGCAAACCAAAAAGAAGATGACTTAAGAGAAATAGCAGGAAACCACGGCTAAAGACAGAGGGAATTGGAACCAACTGGAAAAGGCCTTCACCCGAGGAGGGACCCACACCCTAGTGTAATACTTACCTGGAGTAAAAAAAAATCATACTAATATCTTATGTAATTTTTAGGGTACTGGAAAATGAAGACTTCTTATTTTATCTTCTCTAATCTGACCGCCACGTAGGTCACCAGTGACGTACGTTAACGGACGATTTGATTTCAACAGTATTCTGTTGGCAGTCAAAGGCTTAATTGACTTATTTTTTAGATGTAAAAGTGGAATATGGCAAGTCGAAAGTCCTAAAATGTGAAATAGAATCAAAATTTCCTAAAAAAACCAATTGGTATCATAAAAATGAAATTTCTGGAGAGAAAAACAAAGTAATTGATTCTGACGACTACTCACTATCAGCGGACAAAACGGAATTAACAATAAATAAAATGGATTCTCATTTAGAAGGAACATATATCTGCTCTGCTTACTTAGTTAACAATAAAAGTATTAGAAAGGAGTCAACGGTGGGAGTTCAAATGACTGGTTCGGGTAAGTAAAGCAATTTATTTTTAAACTTTGTAAGTACCGATTGACTGGTATAAAAAGTTTTGGTTGTCCATGACAAAAACCATGACAAAAATATTGGAACGAAAAACTTAACACGTAGGTACCTAATTTTTTACCATAGAACTCAACTTAATCAATGAAATATACCGATTTTGATAATAACTCAACGCCTCATCTTATTGTTACAAATATTTTAATTACAGCTGTACCTAAAGTAGATATACCGAAAGTGGATATAACTAAAGTAGATATACCTAAAATAGATAAACCTAAAGTAGACATACCTAAAATAGATAAACCTAAAGTGGATATAGACAAACTTGATTACGTAAGAACGGTCAAGGGTACAACTGCCGTCTTAAAATGCAAGTAAGTAACAATAATTATAACAATATCGTATGTAACACCCAACTTATGTCAAGATCCATCTATCATCTAGAATTCTTGATATTGATTAAGAATGAAGACTATCATGCATTATTATTAAGACGTGAAGATACCAGGGGGCTTACTCTTGAATTCAATTCCGATCGATTGACATTGTTATTGTGAACTTTCGTACTCTTGAGAGAGAGACTCTTGTAGAGTACATCCGTATTGCGTGGTTATTGAGTCAACTAAATGGTATTGAGTTTGGCTTTATATTTCGTACCCTGAATGCTATTTTAACAGCTACGATAAGGGTTGTATAGTTTTGACCTTGAATAATTATTGAGATTTTATTGGATTCAAATTGAATTGACATTGAGATTGGTTTCAAGAGCAAGCACCCAGGACAGTATGAATTCCAATAATAAAGGCACATTATTCTTTTAGAAAAATATTATAATTTTATTATTTAATTATTCTTCTATATATTTATACTCTAACTAACTTTTCACCAATATGATATTATGTCATTAATTTATAGGTTGACTGGTATACCAAAATCAGCCATCGCATGGCAATTTGGAGGTAAATCTGGTTCCAAGTTTGAACCACTGGGTGAAACTGGAAGTGTGCTACGTATTAATAATGTAGAAGCCAAACACGAGGGTCAGTACAAGTGTGTGGCAAAAATGGGTATACATGAGGATGAAAAAGTCACAACTTTAATCGTACAAGGTATAGTAATCTGGTTTTCTACGAATATTGTAAATTTTTAACAAATTGAGCTTTTGAAATATGTATGCTAAGGGATAACAAAGTACCGATGAATAGTCTCAATGAAAGTAAATTTAAAACATATATTAAGCTTAAGCGCGAATTATGTAATCAAGCTTACTACACACTGACAGATTTTTTTTTTTTTAAACTTTGCCCCACACTAGGATTATCCCCTGTGTCGTGGGTGCGTTTACAAACATTCAAGTTCACATACACATGACACCCAGACCCGAAACAACAATTTGTGGATCACACAAAGTGTTGCTCCGTGCGGGAATCGAACCCGCGGCACATTGCACGGCAGACTGTTGCCCAGCCACCGCACCAATCTTGCAGATTATCTTGAAGATAAGAATGCTTGGCAGCATGTTGGTTCGGCTCCACTGGATAATACTCAAATTTAGTCAGTAGTTAGATTCCAATAGTAGGTGATTTCATAATTTAATACTTTAATTCTAATGTAGACAATCTAGTTTCCTTATGGCATCGAGCATTTCTTTCTTTATTGAAACAGAGAGTTTCCTTTTTCAAAAAGGAATGTGTTTATGGAGGTCATGGATATGCCATTAGATATACTACTGTCAGTAAAATAGCAACAAAGCCTATAGCCCTTCTAATCTTGAGTAGTCAGGTTACCGTAGCTTGGGAGTTCACCTTCAATACCAAAAGCATTAGTTGCAACATTATTTTAGCAGCTCTTGTTTGAAATATAATAAAATAATTATAAACAATATTCCTTACAGATATACCAAAAATATTATCGCGTAGGTCTATAATATACCAAGCTTTTGAGGGAGACGCTGATTTGAAGATACCATGCGTCGCCGTTGGAGAGCCAAAACCAATCATCACCTGGAAAGTAGACGGTCGGCCCATTGCAGTGCCAAGTAAGCAACTACATTCATGACGTAATGTTATATTACCTAATTAAAATCACTGCATTCGATCAGACTTTCGTTAATGTATAACTAACTATTAAAACTATAACAATAGGGTTTTGATAACCCAGGTCAATTGTTTTTTTTCTTTAAGCCCATTAGCAAAATTGAGTAACGTCGCTGCACCAGAGGACCATAAGTAGCGTCATGAATAAGGTTCCCTACGAGACTTAAAATTTGTAGAACTTTTCTCTTCTTCGAATTTCTATAACACTAGTAAAACGTTAATTTTGATATATTTTACTTTTTGTCTTAGAGATTACACGTACCTAACGTGAGCAACCATAATACAAACCTTAAAGGAAAATAAAAACAAATAAACATATTATTTCAGATTCCAAGTATGTGGTAGAAGATGGAGCACTCGTTATAAAATATCCGAAATTAGCAGATACCAAGTCGTATGCATGTGTAGCTACAAATGCGATCGGCTCAGAGACCGCAACATTCAAAACAATCATACGACGTGAGTATTCGCAGATAGATATAGTTACTTAAGTATGTACTTAGGGCTGAGCGCACTAATAAAGTGAAGTCCGAAAGTTAACTTAGATAATTTTGAATTCAGAACTTGATATTTACTCCGGTAAAATCTGTAATGCATTTCATATTTTACAGAGAAACCAGAATTACTAGGAGTTGACCCCAAGAAGACTAACCTCGGAAAGTCCGTTGGGAAAACATGCAGGTATAATATCTAGTTGTTTCAATTTCATAACTGGATACATAGTTATGCTTCTAGCGTTAGTAGCACGTTGTATAGGATAGGACTATTTTAATGTTCAACCAAATGGCGCTGATGTAGCGTTAGGTTCAGTTTGTCCAATAACCAACTATTTGAAACCAAGTCTATATAAACCAAATCAGTTTTTGGGAAAAGGCAGTAAACGAGCAGACTGACCAGCTCATAGTAAGCAATCGGCGCTACCTATGACCATTTACAACACCAGAAGAATGCGTTGCTGGCCTTTCGGAAATTAGGGAGTTGAGAATTGGGAATTTGGGCACTGAAGCTGGGATTCCCGAATTTGTCCTCTGGTAACTAAACTTACACAGCGATTGTGTTTCGCTAGCGTTTCTGTATTTCCTATGATGCCGTTGTATTACCCATTTAAAGACAGCCCATTCCCGCCGAAGCATGGCTCAGCCATGTGAAACATGGTTCTCCCATGTTACCTGGACAAATAGGACCTCAACCCAATTAGCTATTTCATTAATCACACAAAAACTCAAAAGTTAATAACTGTTACTTGCAGTGCAAAACCAAGAGTGAAGACAACGTGGTTCGCAAATCGTCCGAATGGTGAACATGCTAAAAAGTTTAAAAACAAAAAAGAAACGCTGTCGTCGCTGCAAGTGTGCGAAAAAAAATGAAGCTATAATTTAACTTCTGAATTAATCATGTTAATTTTTTTAATAATAATTGCTATTAAATCACCTACATGTATAATCAATAAAATTCATTATTTCAATTTGAAATACTTGTTATTCACGAAATAATAAAAAGTGAAAAAAAAATTCCACCTAGATAATTTCGGCATGCCGTGCCTGTGCATGACTCTAGTGCCCTCATTTATTTTCATGATTTAAGTAAGTAGACATAGGTACTGTAATTACAACTATGCCTAAAAATTAATAAAGCAGAAAACCATAATTATTGTTCATTCATTTTAAAATGTTAATAAGTGAGTACTGTAAATGAATCATGCATGAATGAAAGATAGTCATCCATTTTACGCACACTCAGTGTGCTTAATCCATTCTACCTGTTCTACCTACATGAATAAAAGTTTAGATCATTTTATCGTCTATCCAAAAATATTGTAATAAATAAAATACTTATTGAAACACTCATTGAAACTGACTGACGTAGACAGAAAGACTAGTATCCGTAACGCAGGGTCAGAAATAAAACATGATTAAAAAAATCTGACTGACGGCTATGACACTGACGACTAATTTTGACAATTGACATTGACAATTTGACATTGACACCTGTTTATGCAGCCTCACAGTGGAGAAAAGGAGGTGATGAAAACACACAATATAAATTAAAAAATGATCAATTAAACATGTCTTGTTCCGATTTGCCACCATACTTACTACAAGAGCTACCAGATATCACAGAAAGTATCAATTACCCGATAAAAAATGTTCAACGTATAAAGGTTAGTGAGAATATTTCAGTCTCTGGCCTTTGTTCAAAATTATTTGGCCGAATGTCTTAGAATATTATCAATACAATCTTCAATTTATAGACATTTTTATAACAGGATTAATTTACTAAATTGTATTTTTAATGAATGTTCAAAATGATGTTTTTGTGTGCCTAATGTATTCTTATGAAATAACCAGGCAAGTATCCAGTAAAGTAAGTAAGTTGACAAACTTGGTTGGTGGGTGGTATCCGCGTACAAATACAGGTTACACAGACAATATATGAGAACTAAACTAAAGCTCAACACCCGAGACTTAATAGTCAATTTTCTATTACTTTTCCACAATTGACTTTTAGACATTAATTAACTTTGTCCATTACCTAAGTACCTAAGTATATTTGAATTCAAATTTTGGAAATCTAATTGGTATCTTTCTTAAGTCACTCTCGATAATGATACAAACATAAGTTTTACTAATAGCGCTCTAACTGCTGTACCCAGATCATTTAATGATTACTTAAATTTTTCCTAATTAATGATTTTGTTCTATTACTGAAAACAATTACTAAGGGCTGAGTTAACTTCTTTATATAATATAAATATAACATCACACCTTTTATCCCCGAAGGGGTAAGCAGAGGTGTACATTATGCCACTGTACAATGTAACACCCACTTTTCACTATTTATGTTATGAGTCCCATGTAATAGGGGGTGAGCCTATTGCCATATACCGGTCACAATTCCAGACTCCGTGCTACTACTGAGAATTTTTAAAAACCCAGTTATAGAGTTAACTTCTTAATCCCCGATTATAAAAAATCCACAATATTTTGTTCATACAAAAGTAGTCTCTAAACATTGGAACATTGGAAATAAGGTCTATTATGTTGTAAGTGGAGAGTGGTCACCGGTGACCGCTTGGGGACTAGGCAGTTAAATAATTGTTAGATGTAACGAAACACGCTGAGTAGTCTACAACCAACTAACAACTTTATTTCTAATAGGGTAACATGAGAGTACCTAAATACCATAACTATAATATTAATGTCTATTGGTTCCAGATGACCGGTGCTTAACATATTATGCATAATTATTTATTTTAATACATATAATAAAATATTCTAACAAGATGACTCCGAGTATAGCAGTTGCACATAATTTCACTATTTTCTAACAGTTATTGAAATAGGAAACATCGAATTAAACTTAAATCTTGTTTACTTTCCTAAACAATGATACAATTTTAATAATGCAAAAGACTTTACATAATTTGGCATTGTTTAGTTAATCCTTTAATCTATATTTCAAATTGTTTTGTAATACCGAACAGGAAGAAAAAGAAACAAATTAATTTGGTGGATTTATTATGATGTTGTTAGGATATGTCAATTAATATACTTATATCTTATACTATTATATAAAGCGTAAGAGTTTGTTTTTTGTTTGTTTGTTTGTTTGAACGTGCTAATCTCCGTAACTACAAGTCTGATTTGAATAATTCTTTCTGTGTTGGATAGCGCATTTATCGAGGATGGCTATAGGCTATAAAACATCACGCTATGTCCAATAGGACCTGAGCATATCGTGTGAAACCGCACGGAAGTCTTTGTATTAACTCCCAAATACTGAAATGATAATCTTAATCAATTTTACATTGTGCTTCACTACATAACATAGTAGAGGTATAAAACAAAGTTGCTATCCGCCGTCTGTCTGTCCCTATGTATGCTTAGATCTTTAAAACTATGCTACGGATTTTGATTAGGGTTTTTAAAAGATACAGTGATTCTTAAAGAATGGTTTATATGTGTAATACATGCATTTTGCACCCGTGCGAAGACGGGGTGGGTCGCTAGTAAATATTGAGCTGTATTTGTTATTTTACAAAAAAAAAAAAAAAATGTACTGATTGAACTATTTTGGAGAGTGGGTTAAAATTGAATGGTGTTATAGTAATTGAATTTTCTAACTAATGCACACCTTCTAAATGGTTTTTTGATATATTAAATTTCATTTCCAGTACACCTGTTTTGACATTTCAAAGTCGTTGATAGCGTTTGGTGCTACCAGTGGAGGCATCTACGTGTTCAACCGGACACCATGTGAATTTGTACAATTGATACCAAATAAGGTAAAGAAACTATTCATTATCTTCTTAATTAATTTATTTATTTCAAAAACTTGATTTCAATTTTATATTCTGACTTTTATTCTTTATTATTCATAGATTTTTATATTTATTTATTCATAAACAAATTCATAATTTTACAGCACAAGCCAAAACAATAAATTAAAAATTAACTTATTATTACTACTTTCCACTTATATAATAGGTATCTTATACAAAAAGTACAATAAATAGGTAAGTACTTAAAACTAAATTGATTAACTTAAAACTATTACTAATCTTCTCACAACATCTTAAACATTCACGACATATGTACATCCTTCCATCTCATAATATCTATAACTAGGTATCTCATTCATATATGAATAGTTAAAATATTTTAAGAAAAAGTCTGCATGGGTGGTCCCGTGACTGGGCCACTCGGTTGCTGCTCAACGTGTACTGTTGTATTTTTTTTTTAAAAAACGTTGCTCCACATTTGGATTTTGTCCTGTGTCGTAGGTGCGGTTACAAACATACAATATCATACAACAACCTGTGGATCTCACAAAAAGTTGTTCTGTGCAGAAATCGAACCCGCTAGACGTTGCACGGCAGGCAGTTGCCCAACCACAGCGCCAACCACGCAGTCAAAGTTTAGATTCCCGCACGGAGCAACTCTTTGTGAGATTCACAAATTAGTGTTTCTGGTCTGAGTATCATGTATATGTGAACTTGTTGTATGTTTGTAAACGCATTCGTGACATAGGAGAAAATCCTAGCGGTGGGGCAATGTTTTATTAAGAGATTAAACGCCATTGGGGTCACCGGTGACAGACTTTAGCAGAGGATTTGCCTTAAACAGTATTTTATTGGCAGTTAAAACTTTAGAGAAATAAAATAAAAAGTCTATATATGTTTCTTTTTTAAAATATAAGTTTAAAGGTAGTGGGAAATGTACCTCTAGTTCCTGAGTAAAAAAAATATTAATATAATTAATCTATTCCTTGCTCAATGTTCTGCAGCAGCCAATTGCCCAACCACTCCAAACAAAGACCAAACAGATCACCTCTTGATAACCAATTAGTACGGCCCAATTGTAATAACTAATTTTTTTACACATGTTTTAATTATGTAATAGGTACTAAATGTAAGCATTGATTAATGTACATAATTACTTTCGTGCCATATTCAAATAAATAAACATTGCATTACAGGATGGTGCTATCACACGTTTGGCAATTTCGAAGGATGAGAAACAAATTGGTTTTGCTAACGGCAAGGGCTTGGCAACGGTTACTGAGTGCAATCAGTCCCTCAGTGGTGGTCATTCCACCGTTGTGTCTAAAGAACATCAAGGGAATGAGATCACAGCCATGATCTGGAGTACCAATCACATGCTTTTCATGGGAGATGATGTTGGTAAAATATCAGTGTTGCAGCCGCAGAACTTTATAGTAAGTGCTACTAGTAATTATTATTGTATGGAAAAGTTTCTGACACGACTGCTTCGGTCGAAAATATATCCCTATTATATGGCATGTTGTGCTTACCTATAATAGATTGATGCACTAGTATTTAAGTTTTCGTAAATGTCACCCTATATTGTATAGGTGTAATCAATTGTTGGTGAGACAAATTAATAAAATAAATAAATTAATATTCGGAAAGTGTAATAAATCGGAAAGTGAGTTTGTTTGTTTGTTCCGCTTTCACGCCGAAACTACTAAACCGATTGCGTTGAATTTTTGCAGACGTAAAGTTAGAAGTCCGAATTAAATTAAAGGGTACTTTTTATCCCGGAAAAATTTGATATTCCCGAAGGAAAATAAAAGTATTGGTATAGATGGCGCTGTGTGTATTGGTATATGTCACATTGGCTTTTTATCCTTTTGTGACGCGAGCGAAGCCGCGAGTACAAGCTAGTCAATTGAAGAAGACTGCCTCACTGGCCGAGTGGTCGCAAAAGTGCAACTGCCGGGCAAGAGGCCTCGGGTTCGGTTCAAAAATTCAAAGCAATCAGTCTAGTAGTTATGGCGTGAAAGGGGAACAAACAAACAAACTCACTTTCCGATTTATAATATTATATAGTAAGGATTTTTGCATCTCTGCCTATCCATTGGATGACCAAAAACCGTGGCATTATGTTCAGTATGAATTAACAA